TTTTGTTTATGTGTCTCACCAGTATGAGTTGGTTTTCAATGGTGTGTATGTTTGTTTAAACCTAAATTTATTTCTAGGATGTGTCGCTTGTGTCTCCAGTATTAGAGGTTTGGTCTTGGTCGACTGATTTTATCCATTGACTGTAGTGATTCTTGTTAATGAGATTTGGTCGCGCCTGATTTTGTTTGTGCCAAGCGAGGTTTTTTTTTTTTTTTTTTTTTTTTTTCATTGGATCTCAACACTTGTATTCACCCTCGTGCTTCATCCATCTTCATGGGTGGATCTAGTTAATGTCAAGGGTCAAATTTCTTTGTAGGTTGTGGTCATTTGTGATTATTTGTGTAATTTGTTATTAATCAAACTTTCCGTTAAAAAAAGTAGTATAACAATAATTTTAAACGGCCAAAAGTATGAGAAGATAGTGAGTTTACCATACGTAATTGTAATCATAATGCATATATATTTGTAGTTAACTTAGGCAGTTAAATATATAATTAACTTCGACCATTATTAATGCATATGTATAACGGCTGTCATTTTCTCCTCATGGGCGAATCAATGCCGATTTCGGCACATGTATATATGCCTTTCGGATAATTAATAAAGTTTGGAGTTTTAACTTTATGAATGTTTATGTTTGAAATTTTATAGAAGATAATTTGGATATGATCAAATATATATATATATATATATATATGTATCCAAGGATTCGACTATCCCTCGTAGTCGTACTGTTAGCCATACATGATTTGCAAGATATATATTCTTCAAAATATCAAAACAAAAGAAAACGTTGTACACACAACATTACCATAAAAATATTCTATTTAATCTTTCCGTATAAGTTTCCAAGTTACACTTGGTTGCAACTAGGCGGATTTACCTTTAAAATTCTGAAGGACCACAAATGGCACCTGACCAGGAGAAAATTTAAAAAAAATAAAAAAGGAGCTTATCCAAAGCCCAAATATATCCGAAGAGCCCTATATAAACCAACCTAACCAGATCTTACAAGTACACACACAGACACACACAAATATATAAATTTTCCTTAGCTAGCTTTACTCCAAAAATCACTACAACAATAAATGCCATTTGCGATGACATTTGTCGTCGCAATTACTCCAAGTTAAATAAAATAATATTATCGTCACTAATAACTTAAATACCGTCGCAAATAATTTTAGAGCGCAAATTTTTGGCGCCAAGGTAATCCATTTTTTGCGACGATAAGTCATCGCAAATAGTAAGATATTTGCGACGACAAATGTCGTCGCAAATAGTTTCAGGTTATTTGCGACGACATTGTCTCTTTGTCGTCGCAAATAATCTTTTTAAGATTTCATCAAAAAGTAAACGCGGGAAAAATGATCATTTACGACGACTGAAAAATTATTTGCGATGAGATAATGTCGTTGCAAATAATTGACAGTTGTTTAGTATCTACGACGACATTTTAAATTTATTTACGACGACAATGTCGTCGCAAATAAATCTGACATAATATTCCCTATCTTCTTCTTCTTCATTTTCCCCTGATGTTCTCTCTCTCTCTCTGCCTCCACTTCCCGTCACCGTTGCCCCTGCCACGGGCCCTCCCCTTCTCTCTCTCCCCTTCTCTTTCTTCCCTTCTTTCTCTCTCTCTCTCTCTCTCTCTCTCTCTTCCATCCCTTCTCTCTTCTTCCCCTCTCCTGCCACCGCTCCCGCCGCCCCGCCCCCACCAGGATTTCGAAGAGGTGGGTTTTCTCCTTTTTTTTCTTTTCGTAATTTTTGTTTGGTTGCCGAGAAAATGGAAATGGAAGATCAAACGTGCACGTCCGAGAATATTTTATTGCTCTTATTTTGCTTATTGAGTATGTGTTTGGATTGAATTACGAGAATTTTGATGCTTTAGGAGTTGAATATTGGAGATTTTGTTTAGGAATTTTGTTCGAGTTTAGTCATTTTTTATGGTTTGAGAATGTGAAAATTTAAACTTGCATTGATTAATCAAGAATTGTGTCTATATGTTACTCTAGATGTTAATAAAATGTTAATTTTGGTGTTTAAAAATTATGTTCGATGTTTCAATTTGATGTAGGCGTTTGATTTTTCACCTTCGTCACTGTTTGCACGGTTCATCCGACGTAATCCCGCTATTTTCAGCCCTCGTTTAGTGGGTTTGAACTTTGTAAGTTTTTTATATTTATTGTACTTTTAGTTTAAAATTGTTGTAGTTTTTTTGTTGTATGAATTCCGGATTATGATGACAATATTTGAATTATGATTTTCTTATATTGTTGAAATTTAGTATATGTTTATGATTCTTGTTCTGGGTGGCACATCTTGCAGCTATGGTGTGCCGAAATCTTTTAAAGTTGTTTTTTTTGCAAGTTTAGATTTTTGGATGATAAGAAAAATAAGCCGTTATGTTGCTGAAATTTAGTTAGAAAACAAGAATTTTAATAAGTTCATTAACAAACTTTAATTAATAAAATTTAATTGTGTTAATAAAGAGTAAAATTAAAATTAATTAAACACATTAATAAATTGTTATGTCTGTTGTTGTGTATAGTTGAAATGTCAATTGATAAAAGTTAGATTTATTTGAGGAACCGATTGTCGGATCAATATTGGAATGAGTTATCTACTTTTATTGAGGTCGCCAAAAATTATGAAACTTCAAGTGGCCATTATCAGCTGTCCTTGTGTAAAATGTAGAAACCATGAAATGCATCTAGTAGAAACTGTGAGAGCACATATACATCAATTTGGTTTTGATTCATTGTATAGTACATGGATTCACCATGGTGAAGTAGAAGCGGTTTCAGGTGTCGACCCAATAGTTAATCAACCAGTAGACGAGATGTTTGCAGTCTTACAAGACGTTGCTGGGATTAATGATGACCATGAAATGTTAGATGAGACGCATGTGGATCTAGAAGATGCACAGTACACTGAATTTAAGGATATACTTTTTGAGCTTCAGGTGAGATTGTATCCGGGCTGCACTAAGTATTCATCTTTAAATTTCTTGGTGAAATTGATGCATTTAAAAGTGTTATACAAGTAGCCTAATGAGTGTATGGATGCTCTGTTAAATCTATTGAAAGATGCATTCCCGGATGTGAAGTTACCTTCTTCTCATTATGAGTCGAAGAAGCTCATGAGTAAACTTGGACTGGGTTACGAAACAATTCATGTCTGCAAGTACGATTGTGCTTTGTTTTGGAAGGAAAATGCTGATCTACAAACATGTCCAGTATGTAAAACATTCCGTTGGAAGAAAAAAAGACAAAGGGTACTAAACAAGTGCCATGGAAAGTACTACGTTATTTCCCGTTAACAGATCGGTTGAAGCGTCTGTACGGTTCTTGTCACATAGCTAAAGATATGATGTGACACCATCATGGGCGTTCAAATGATGAGGATTTAATGCGTCATCTAGTCAATGGTAATGAATGGAAGGAGGTAGATGAAAAGTATCTGAGTTTTCACGTGAATCGAGAAATGTTCGCTTGGGGTTGGCTGCTGATGGTTTTAATCCTTTCGGGAACATGAGCCTCTCATACAGTATGTGGCCGGTGGTTTTAACGGCCTACAATTTACCTCTGTGGTTATGCACTAAGGATCCTTATAAGATGTTGACATTGTTGATTCCTGGCCCAAATGCACCCGGAAATGATATAGATGTCTTTTTAAGGCCCCTTGTTGATGAGCTAAAAGATTTGTGGAATGAATGAGTAATTATACGTGACGCAGTTTCGAATACATCATTTCAGATGTGGGCTGTGTTGCTCATGACAGTTAATGATTTTCCTGCTCGTAGTAGTTTATCTGGATGGAGTGGTCAGGGCTATTTAGCATGCCCAACGTGCAACGATGCAACTCCTTCAAAGAGGATAACAAGTAAGACTTGTTTTGTTGGCCATCGGCAATGGCTTCCTATTAAACATGGGATGAGAAAGAATAAAAAGTTTGATGGTAAGGTTGAGAAACGACCTCCACCGGCTCAAAAATCTGTTCACCAAATCTTAGCTCAGTTAGAAAATGTGTTAGTCAGATTGCCTGGTAAACATGAAAAGTATGGTGGTAACAAGCAGAAAAGACATGCAAGCGAACTTAATTGGACAAAGAAGAGTATCTTTTGGGAGTTGCCTTATTGGAAGTCATTGTCATTACGTCACAACTTAGAAGTCATGCATATTGAGAAGAATGTATGCGACAGCTTATTGGGCACAATTCTAGACATTGACGAAAAAAGTAAGGATATGGACAAGGCGAGAATCGATCTGCAACATATGGGAGTGCGCAAGGAGTTGGTGGCTAAATTATAGCCCAACATTTAATTACCTACGATTGATCGTCCAGAACCAGTTGACCTAGACGCTCCTCTGTCTCCTTCAGATGATGACAGTCTTGATAATGATTCAGATGTTGACGATGCTGCAAACTTAGACGATTAGTTCTGTTATATGTACTATTTTATTTTTCACTTTATATAGACTTTTATATTTTTTTGAACATTATATATGCACTTCATATAGTATTCATAATATATTTTATAAATTTCTTTAGATTTACTGTTTTTAATATTAATTGATATTTCACTTTTAATCTATCTTAATAAATTCTATTCAGTATGTAACATAATAATGTGTAATTAAAAATATTAAAAATTAATTAATTGCCATTTTTTTAAAATTATAAAAAAAAATTAATTTTAGTTTTTTGCGACGACTTTTTTAGACTTGTCGTCGCAAAAAAAATAAGATTATTTGCGACGACAATTTGAAATGTCGTCGTAAAAAATGATCATATCACGAGAATTTTACAACAACGTATTAGCGACGTTCGTAGTCGCAAATACAGCCTGTTATCGCAAATACATTTGCGGCGACACTATGTCGTCGCAAAAAAATTAGTTGCGACGACATTCGGGTTTTTACGACTACAAAAAGTCGTCGCAAAAACCCTTTTTTCTTATAGTGAATTTTCAAAAAAAAAAAAAAGAAAAGAAAATGGTTTTAAACTACCTACCCCATACCCATAGAGATCCGCCCCAACCTGAATGGAGCATTGAGCAGCTAACAGAAGTTTTCAAAAGTTTTGACAGAGATAAGGATGGTCAACTTTCAAAGGCCGAGCTCAGGGCAGCCTTCAATTATCTTGGGTCGCGTTTCGGCTATGGTAGAGGTCGCATCGCTTGTTATAAAGCTGACAACAATAAAGACGGCCTCATCAATCTCCATAATGATGAGCTTACTATCCTCGTCAAGTATGCTTATAGCTGTGGTTACAAAGTAGTATAATAAGTAATTAATTAGCTAGCTAGTTTTATTTGGTTTTCCTAGCAAGTACTGCGTACCAAATGGTGTAATATATAATATTTTTACCTTTACAAAACTGGTGTGATATATTTGTAGGCTGCTGCTCTTAATTCTCCCTCTCTATAGTGTGTGATAATAATATGAAAGAGAAGGTGATCTTCGCACACCCGTTTATGTATATCTCGTACGCGGTGAATAAAACCGAAATATAGTTAATATATTTGTGTTATTCAGAAGTTGCTGTAATCTAAAGTATGTTAGTGTTTGGTAAAAAAAAAATTTAAGACTGCTGTAAATATAAGAAGTAGAAATTTAAGTGTTTGGTAACTTGTATATTGAATTGTTATAGAGATATATAATAACTAAAATAGACATACTTTTATAATTAGTTTCACTTTTCTTTTTAAGATCATTCATAGTATTTTCACACCAAAATACTAAAATAATATATGATTTTTATTTATTATTTAAACTATTTCTAAAATATAAATTGTTAAATTTATTATTTATTGTTATAATATTTAAACATTTTGATAAGTATAAAAAAATCAGTAAAATTTAACATAGTGTATTTATTGAATATTTTTAATTTTTAAATAAATATTTAAAAGTATATATTTTTATTTTGGTATGAAAAAATAAAATGGATAGATAGAGAATTAAGTTTTATTATTATGGTTATTTTAGTAAATTTGGACAATGACAACGGAAGCAACTGTGCAAAAGCAACCCATAACCTACGTCTCAAATTCTGCTGTCTAACATTAGTTTTTAGAAGCTGTTGGATAAAAATAGAATTTACTAAACACCTTAACTTTTGTAACTTCTTAAATAAAGCTAAAAACAACCTTTAAAAGCAGACCCTAATTGTAGCTTTTACTTATCATTTAAGTGTGATGTATCAAAATTAAGGGTGCATTTGGTTGCGAATGGGAGAATAGTAATGATAATGGGATTGAGAATGGAAATGGAATAGAATAGAAAAGAAAGTTGATTCATTTATTTAGTTGTAATTTTAGGAATACTATGGAATGTAACATGAATATTTTCATGTTGATAAAATTACCCTCATATCATATATATAACACTAATATTTTATAAATCAATATAATTAATATAATATATAAAATGTAATATAATATAATAAAACTATTATTATATAATATGTTGTACAATTATGATATAGAATATAATAATATATTATATTGTTATATGATTATAACTATATTATATTATAATATTTTTTATTATATATTATATTTTATATATTACAAGATATAGTTATTATATAATATATTATAATTATATTAAAATATTGAAGGGTAATTATGGAAAAAAAAAGAGCTTGAATGGCTATTCTTTCCATGTGAGAAAGAAATGATGATTCACTTAAAATAGGTAAATGAACATTCCTTTTTATAAATCAAAAAAAAAAAAAAAACATTGGATTTGGATTCCATTCCATTCTATTTCTTTTTTTTCTCCCAACTAAACGTGCATCATGCAAAGTATAATACTTTGTGCACCACTAGTACTGAACCTTCCCCTATAGGCTATCAGTAATTACGTCCAACTCGCCATATATTATAGTGTTATATATATATATATATACACATTTCTTTTTATCCTTTTGGAGAGACTATCCCTCCAATATAACATATAGTTATGAAAACGTAATATTATAATTATTGAACTCAACATCATCGTAAAAAGTATAACACAGTCTTTAAATGACTTAATTCTTTGGTGTTATCTCAATTTATATTCAATAATTATTATGTTACATTTTCATAACTATATATACAAGGGACCTCCCAATCCCATTGATGAGACTGAAGAAAAGCCCATGTATATATTGTTAAATAATATTAATTATTATTATTTGTATTTTTTATTTTTAGTAAGTGTAAAATAGTTTTTCATTTATTTTACAAGTCTATATAAAACTTTATTTTGTGATGTAATTAATTAGTGTAATTCAATGAGAAATTAAACTCTAACATCCTTTCTGCCCAATTGTTTTCGTAGATTAACATATTATATAACCAATTTAATTAATTTTTATTTATTTATTTTGAATTACAGGTAGGGAATTTAAACTCTACCTTAAGGTGGAGTCCGAGTTAATTGGCAAAAATGCAATTTCAGAAAAATATTTTAATCGTAGAACTTTTCACTAATTTCCAGAAGTGTGTGTGTGTATGTATATATATGTGTATATATATATATATATATATATATTATTTGGAACCAAATTCGAAAACAAGAATAATTTGACAACTAACACTTTATCTATGAGGCAAGTTCGGCTATTTGAAGAGGGGGGAAAAAAAACCTTGCAAATTGTAAGGGAAGATTATAAAACCAACCTTAACCTCTTTAATATTAGTGGAAATCTTAACGAGTTTTTATCAAGGAAATTAAATAAGAGAAAAAAAGCCTAATTATTTTTGGATTCTCGTACCAATGTTACTCCAAACTTTTCAACAAATATGGTTTTCAAGTTCCAACCCCATAACAGTGTTACCGGCCAAGAATGGACTACTGAGCAGCTACGAGTTATTTTCAAGAGTCATGACATGAATTAGTATGTTAACGATGGCTATCTTTTAGAGGATGAGCTTAAGGCAGCCTCCAAATATCTTGGCTTGTGTTGCAGGCTTGCAGTATACGTCGGTTTATTCACGGAATTAAGGGCTTGAAAAGCGTGGTAGATACGTCGGTCAAAATATTAGCAACGTCGAAGCAAGGGACATTTGTAATTTCAATCCATCACGCTATAGAAGTTTTATCTGTGTTAAATTTTCTTTGACATTTTCGTTTCATCATGTTTTGATGTTTTGTTACTTCAACTTCTATTTGCTTGCTTCCTTTTTTTAAGAAACAATTGTAATTTTTAAATTTTCTTCATTAATATATTGTTTTCTTAATTTTCTCTTCATTAAAATTTTAAATATAAAAGATTCTCTTTCATTTTAAAAAAAAAATGAAAAAGCTAAAGTACAAAGTGCGGTACACACTATACCATATTAGTCTTATTAGAAAACCACTCATATTGTTGACCGCGCCGGTAATATAGCACTTTTCTTGCTTTTGAGTGTTGACTCAGTATGTAAAAGTAACTAAAAAGAAAAAAGGAGACAAATACTCCTTTAAATATAACGGCGCATGCCTGTTGCAGCCTGTGTGGCTTACTGCATGTGATTTCAATTTTTTTTCTTTTTTAAATGTTGTGACTCCCAAATTGACTCCGGAAGTCCTCTAAAATGAGCCAAACTCCATGCTAATGACTTTCTTTTTATTCTTTTAATTTTAAAACCTACAAAACACAATAAAAACACAGAAAAACTCAAAAATCAAGCAAGGAAACATGGGAAAATCGATTAGAAAATTATATGGATTAATTATGCACTTATCAGGATCTTCCTTTCCAGGTTGGCGAGCTATTCGAGCCCTCTGCCATGTCGACAAGAACAGAGACGGCTTCGTCGACGAGGAAGAGACGGACAGACTTATAATTCAATACGCCGCCAAAAGAGGTTATAAAATCAAATAACTTAATTATGCCTCACACGCCGGCCACCTTTATGAATAGAGTGGTGTTATTTTGCCCTAGCCTAAATACTGGAGAGAGATAATTAAAAAGAAAAAAGTGTACTTAATCTGGAATGTAAGGAATGTATAGGGATGACATGTAGGAGGTAAAATAAATACACATATACGTGTGTTTACTACTACTATGCCAGTTCGTGTTGTTTTCCAAGTAACTTGCTTGGTTTGTACTTCAATCTCAAATGTAATGTCATGTTTTTTTTTTTCCCCTCTTTTGTCTGGTTTTTTATATTGTGTTAAATTCCACAATCTGACTAGCAGATCATCGTCTATAGAATAAAATATTCTTTGCGCTTTTTTTTTTTTTTTTTTTTTTTTTT